TGGATAAGTATAATCTACTAAGCCTAGTACATGTATTAAAGTGAGACTAATAAAGGTACATAAAAGACTTTTTTGCATTTTATTGGAAGAAGCTAGTACAAGGATAAAACAATAGACTGCTACATCTTGAAGATAAGAAAAATCTAAGAACTATCAATGGAGTTTTGTGGATGGTTCTCTAGTTCATCCAGATACTTCAAATAGTCTTGACCATCCTAATCTTCAAATGAAGGAGAATCCTCTCTCCTGCTTCTTAGTATGGCTTCTATAGCTTTGCTTCTTCTTTAAGAAGTAACTCCAGAAGTGCTTGATAAGTCAATAATAAAGAAAACATGAGTTTATGATTCCTCCTCAGGCTCTTGTTTCTCCCCCTTTGTCTTCTTCTTATGTTTCAAAGTCTTTTTGGCATCTCTTTCTACCTTTGATGGTTTTCGCCTACCCATTCTTATGGACTGTGTAAATCTGAAAAGAGAAAGATGATTTGGTTAAGCTATATGGCCTCTGCATTTATAGAGAAAATTTCCTTGGAAAAAATCTTCAAAAATATTATGGCCATGCTTCACGTGCCTTTCTACCTATGCTATAATGTCTGAATCTCATTCTAAACCATCTTGGAATTTGTAGTCTGGATGCTTATCTATTAAAAATGCTCTTGTCTTTTCACTGGCTATTTACCTACTATTTTATTTTTGAGCATAATCTTTTTTTGTTTTCCTTCTGTCACAAAACTTCTTTCTCTCTTTTTTTTCTTTCTTTATTTTGTATTTCTCTTTGTTGATCACAAAAGGGGGGGAATTATATGAGAAATATGAAAGTATTTAAAGAGTTTGATAAAAATATATTTTCTTTGTGAAAATGTGTTTTATCAATATCCTGAACCAAACTTATTCAACTTAATCATTTTAAGCTTTAAGTTGTAACAAAAAGTCTGTGAAATACAGAAGTACTTCAAGACTTTGATAAAGACATTTTCTATGTGAAAATGTAATTTTGTTAAGATCTTGAATCCTCAACTTAATCAAAATGTGCTTAATATTGTAGAAGATGTTTTAATAACTTGGGTTGTAAATTAGGGGGAGCTTACAAAACTCAACCTGTAAACTATTAAAATTCAGATAGATCTTATAAACCTCAGGCTCTGAACTCAAGTTAATAAAACTGAATTACTACCTTTGTCCCAAAATATAAGAGAGAAAAAAATTCATTTTTCTTGTCACAAAATATAAGAGAGAGAAAATTCATTTTTCTTGTCGCAAAATATAAGAGAGAAAATTATTTTTAATCTCTTTCAAGGTAAAATCAAATATAAATTGCATTTAACTTACCTTCCCTCTCATCATTTCTATAACCCACAACCAATTAAAATTGTTTTTACATCTTCCTAAGCACTTTATATCAAGAAAACCACAAGTCAAATGATTAAGTTTTTGCTTGTCTTAATAAGTGTAATTTTTATTTTTCTCTTATATTTTGGGAAAAAGGGAGTAGTAATTTGGAAAGAATCTAGGTAGAGCTTACAAACCTCAACCTATGAACTATTAGACTCAGGGGGAGCTTACAAACCTCAGACCCTGAAGTTGTTAAGTTATTAATAAAATTGGTTTAAGTAATTTGGATAGAACTTAGGTGGATCTTACAAACCTCAAACTATGGACTGTTAAACTCGCAGGAGCTTACAAACCTCATCCTCTAAAGTTGTCATTACTAAAACTGACCAACCAATTTTTCTTAAAGCACTTATGTTTGTCATCGTCAAAAATGGGGAGATTGTTGAAACACAATCTATTCACACTAACTGAGTGCATACTCTTTGGATCTTGATGATAACAAAAGTACTAAAATAATAATAGGGTATACTAATGTTTGACTAAGTGCGCAAGATCATTAAGGTTATATTTAACTTGGTTCTGACCTAGTTAAATAACTTGTAAAGAAGAAGCAAGTGAAACCAGGTTCTACTGAATCAGAACCTAAGTTTCAAGCAATATCGTAGCGTCATATTGAAGCTTTTGATATTTGAATTTAACCTCAGTTTCAATATTGACTTTTCCTATGATGATTCCGTTGGAACTAAACACCTTACTGGAAGCATAACACAAATCTATTTTTTCCGTATTCTGAAAAGGCAACTACATCTTATCATTGGCTTGAATTATGGAGGAAGTCAACTAGAGGTTTTAGCACAAGGCTCAAGGAAAACTGATGTGATTTCTTCAGTCTACTACTCCATGCCCATGAATTTCGTACTTGAGAAACACACAATGGAAAATGCAATTATTCAGAAGATGAAGATCCTCATCGTACTAACTCCAAAGTCTCTCTCTTAGGAATAACTTCTTCGTGAAAGACACTTGTGAAAGCAGGTTTCCAATGTCGCTTTTATTCTGTCTATATAAAGGAGCTAAAGATTTAAAAATAAGTAACAATAATAATAAAATAAGAACAACAATAGAAAATCATAAATTGGGAGAATTGTTTCACTCTCCACGATTGAGTTTATGTTTGTTGTATTACACATGGACTTGAGAATATTCTTATAATTGTATATATATTATAAATATCAAGTATCAAAGTCTTTGCATGTGTTATATTATTTGTACATTTGATTGTATGTCAAGTGCATCTTGTTGTAATATAAACATTTTCTTTAGAACTTGGAAAAGTCTCATTCTAGTTTTATTGAGTAAGAAAGTCCTGAACAATTGGTTTAGGCAAGGAAATATATTTTTAGTTTGATTGAGCAAGGAAGTCCTGAACAATTGGTTTAGGAAAAGAAGTATATTTCTAGTTTGATTGATCAAGGGAGTCCCGAACAATTGGTTTAGGCAAGAAAGTCTCTTTCTAGTTTGATTGAGCAAAGAAGTCTGGGGCAGTTTGTTTGGGAAAGAAGTCTCTTTCTAGTGAGATTGAGCAGGAAGTCTTGGAATGGTGTGTCTAAAAAAATTGTAATCAACCACTTGTTATGGTGAAATGATATTGCGTGGCAAAAGGACTAGACTACTCTAATTATAGAGGAACCACGATACATTTTATGTATGATTTACTTATAGCTTCTGCACTTTGAATATTTCGTTGGTGCATACCTAAACTTAGAATCTAAAGTTGGTCAGATTCAGAAGTTGTGTCACCCTAATTTTCACCCCTAAGATCTCACTTATCCTTCCATTGCATTTCATCAAAATCCCAAACTTGGTGACCTCCTGTTATACCCCAATTTTTGCCCCTAAGACCCCTCCTTATATTATATACATGCATATCACCAATTCCATGGTTACGGGATAAAAGGCTTTGGCATTAGGGTTTTTCTCTATGAACTGAGGTTGCTACTTTACTCAAAGTTGATTCAACTGGTGTTCTTATCATTCTTGGTATGATATTAGGCTTTTGGGTTTCAAGCATCATAGACGTCTTCGCTAGCAGGGTTCCTCGAGATATAAGGTTTTCTTCATCAAAGTTTCTTCAAGGAATAAAGGCATTAGGGTTTAACTCAGCCAGAGAATCAGGATTTCTCTTCATTTTGTTCAAACATTGTAGTGGTTCTTCTATGTAGGTTATTGGATTAAAGTCTCACTTTAAGGCTACATTAAGCACTACTCTTCCCTTATTGAAGGTTCGTCATAATCTAAGGGTTACTTGCTTTATAAGTCAACTTCTTTCGATGATACCTAAGGGATTGAATCAAAGTTCTCTCCTTTGACAAGCAATTTAGGATTGTTTTAAGTTTCTATCAAGTCCAGATATTTCTTATTGGTTAAGCTATGGGTTAGGGGGCTCATTTAGCTCATTTTATCAAATGGAAGTCGGTTGATTCAAATGCAAGATGACGTGAATCTATGGATCCAATTGAGATTAAGGTGTATTGACTAAACATTGCATAGGAGTATACTGAATTCATTTTTTACTGAATGTTGATTCAAAGGATCATATGTGTTATACATTCCATTTTCAAATAATCAAGAGGCACAATTCTCTTTGGAGAAAGATCAATCGCATTCTGCTATTACAAACTTGTCAGAACTGAAAATGGATTTGACCTTTAGACTAGAGGAATGGGAGTGTAGAGGCAATTTATTTGAAAATAAGTTGAGACAATATGAAGTTGAAAATTTAGGGCAAAAGGAGTTGTATGTTGCGCAACTATTGGTTAAACAAAGTGAAATAATTTCTTTAAAGGAAGAACTTCGTCAGAGAAGAGGGAAGTAATCCGGCAATTATGCTTCTCGCTTGAATACTATAAGAATAGATATGAAGAATTTCTTTATGTTTTTACTGGTCATAGACACCATACTGTCATAGCCTCCTAAAGTTACATTGAGCAATCCTAAAGTTTCATTCAGTAGTAGTCACATCATTTAATATTGTTCTGTAGATCGTTGGGGATTATCAATTTTCCACGTCCTTTTCTTATTTGTGTTGTGCAGCCAAACAAAATATACTTGATGGGCTGTGTACTACTTCTTTCTTTTTTGCGTGCACTGAGATGGCCATACTGCTGAAAGTTTGCACTTGGTGATTGAGTCAAGTCTACATATCACTATGTTTATATTTGTTCAAGGCTAGTTTCGACTATTTAAGGGAAAAAACCATTACAAAGATTCCAAAGGCCATTACAAATTCTGTCCAAATATCCATTCAAGCTTCAAAGTACAGTCCGTTACAGGAAGGAAGAATGTAAATAAAAAATACTACAAAACCTAATTCTAGTTTCCAAGTTGTTTAACTCCAAGATTTACTTGGGTCTAAAGCTCCGCGCCATGCCCAAGGTTCAAATATTGCATCAAGATGGAAGCAAACTTGTTGCTGCCCAGATTCACATTGCCCTGCATATATGCGTAAAACCATATCAGTTTTGATACAAAAAATATAAAATGTTTCAAAATAGTTCAGGCTGCCAAAACTAGAAATTTCAAAGAAGATGTAGTCAGCAAACATAACTTCTAACAACATAATAGTTCTTAATATTAGCAGAAGTTTCAGAACCAATAATTTCTAACCAATTTCTAGCTGAATCTAGTTCGTTGAAACTGATTCTCCAGTCCACAATTATCTTCATCCCTGTCATATTCATAAACATAATAAGCAGTCCAGTTCCACAGTCTGCAAGTTCAATAACAAATAGTTTAACAAGCCTGCATCTAATGACCTAACAAAAAATAACCAACAACAAAAGATTTTCCTAACCTATTTCACTCTCATAACAGATTTCAAAAAACTTCTACAACAACCAAAATAGAAAATAAACTTCTAACTGCATTCATAACTAACTGCCTAACAACCTAGTACAATACCTAATTGTCTTCCAACTAACTCCTATAAAAAAGTCTCATCTAACAGAAAATTAAAACTGAAGCTGAAGCTCCTAACCAACTGCAACAATCCCTAACCAAATTCAAGCCTACTATTTTTTTTTCTAAATAGAATTAACAACTTTCCTAACTTCCTCCTAACAAACTCCTCAATAGTATGCATGACAAAACATGGAATGATATAAGAGATTGGTAAGAGAATGGGGAGAAGGATGCAGAAAAAACTCACCTTTCTACTATTTCATTATCTTCTTCATCTTTAACCTTCATTCTCCTTTTCACTCTTGAACAAACTCTGCATCTTCTTCATCTTTAACTTTCATTCTTCTTTCCACTCTTGAACGGACTCAACATCTTCGGTGATCTTCAACCATCCATTCCCTCTTTGATCAAAAACCTTCATTCTCTCTGGGATTTCCATAACTGTAATCTTCATCTTCATCTCTGAATCAAGCTTCTTTTGCACATTCGTCCCTCACGTTTCATCATCATCATCATCATCTCTCAAATTCAATCAGATTCGATGCAACTTTCGATCATCTTCATCACGTAAATGCAACAACGTCTCTTCAACAACAACAATATCATCATCAGCTTCATCTTTGATCCACGTCCCTGTAACAAAGTTTGAATCCATAACCGCATCGATGTTCTTCATTGTTCCTTCAATACTATCACACAAACGTGCAAACATATACATCAATAATTGGCAGAAAACGCAAGATATTGAGTAGAAGAAGAATCAAGCACGAGGTTGTACCTTTCAAAGACGCACCAGATGATTCTTTGGTAGGTAAAATTCTTTGATTCTTCTACAATTTATGGTCGTTATCTCGAGTTTATTGTTGCAGCGAATCGAATTCTTGAATTTGGAAACATAGTGGAGTAAACAAGTACTGGTGATGTAATGTCGCTGATGAAGTTGAGGCGAAGTCTGAAGAATGTGAGTGAAGACTAATATTTGAAGAAGATCATAAGAGAGATGAAGATGCAATCGAAGCCGTGACTATGGCGGAATCGCGATAAAAGTGAGCTGAGGATGAGGAATTCACACTAGAACGTATGGCGGCGACGATGATTTCAAATGAAGAAGAGTTCCATTGCAATGTTGAAGACGCTCTGAGATGTTGTACGACGGCGGAAAGAATCCTCTAATCGAAGAGCTAAAGAGTCACAAACTTTTGGAACCCTATCTCCTGGCCAAACGTATCATTTTGTTTGTTTTTTTTGTTGTTATTTTATGATAGTATGATGAAAGCAGGATATAGAAAAATATGTATAAATAAAAGCTGAGAAAGATTAAGGTGAGAGCTTGGTATTGATTAGGATGAACCGAAATCACCCTAAGTCCATCACCAATTTTTGAAAGCTTCTACCTTGCTAAAAATATGAACTGCTTGGGCTTCATTCAGCAGGCCTCAGGCATATACACCTCCATCCCGTTTAACATCCCCCGACCAATTATATTTCCTATGTTTTTTCTAGATTTTGTTTAGTTTTAGTTTAAATTCCTTTTATAATAAAAGTAGTAGCAAAATACATATAATGAAAAAAAATAAATAAATAATATAGATTTTAGGATTGCCCCTTAGTTTTCAGGGTAATAAACTACAAAAATCAATAAAATTTGTTAGATTTCTCATTTCATTTTTAGGGAATTAACTCCTAATTTTTCGAATACTTGAGACTTGTGATTCACCTTTGCTTGGTGAGTTAAGTCTTATGCAGGTTCATTATTCGATATACGGACATATTTGGAGTTCTGATTGTGATTTATTTTCACATCAATGAAACTTCGACACCTATTCCAAATATTCAATCTCTGACTGTTTGTTTGTTGATGCCATCTCGCACGAAGTATTCTGGGTTTCTTTGCTTTGGTTGCACTTTTTTGTAGACTTTATGGTTTGTTTGGTATTATACTTCTTCCAATTTATTTTTCTGCGCATTTTTCGCATTCTAGATATCATGGGAAGTAGGAAATAAAGAGCGTGCGTTCGAAGTCACTGTTTAAAGACCTGTAGCAGGAATTCCGCACTTCATTTATTATACGTGTTGTGCTTGTGTTTGTTTCCTTTCTTGTTGATTGACGAGTCACTCAATTTAGAAATTGAGATCACGACTTTGCTCTCAGTGCATGCTCCTTATAGGATTTTATTTCTTTCCTTTATTTCTTGTTGATCGATGAGTCACTCAATTTAGAAATTTAGATCACTACTTCGCTCTCATTGTATGTTCCCTATACGATATTTTGTTAGACTTTCTTTGGCATCCTAACTTAGATATGATCCCTCATTGTTTGATAACATTAGGTTAGAGATAGGTTAGTCTCCCTTAGATGTTTTCTTCCCATTTTTGCATAATTGCATTTAAAACTAAAACTTCTTTTTCTTGGAAAATGTGTAAAAAATGCTAAGCATACAAAAATTCTTTTCATGGTAAAAAATACCAACCAATCCATTTATTTTCTCCATTCGACTTTTCTCTTCTAAGAGCATTGTTAGTTCCTTTCCACTACAGGTCATAAGTCTCCAAAGGTCGAGCAGCGGTGGAACTATCGAATTCAACATTGTTCATTTAAAAAATACAAACAAACAAAATATATGAGCCGAACTGTGGCGCTATGATTCCTTAAAAGGGATACGTAAACATCTGGTCACGTGGCTCAGCCAAGCGAAAATTTGTAAACATTTCCTTCTTTTCCCCGTGTTTTCTTTGCATGCATTCCCTCTTAGTTTATAACTCTTAAGCATTAGATTGAACACACCCTATGATTAGGATAACAAGAGTGGTTCCTATAGAGTACTACAGACGTGTGGGGTGCTAATACCTTGCCCTCGCGTAATCGACTCCCTTACCCAATCTCTCGGTTGCAAGACCTTGATTCCCCCCTTTAGGTTTTTCTTCGATGATTTTCCTTTCCCTTTTATATGGGATAAATAAATATTCGGTGGCGACTTCATTGATTTTACCGCTACAACTCCTAACACTTTTTTATTTGGGTTTGCTGTGCGGGAGGTCACCAAGAACCCTTTGTATTTACTTTTATCTTTCTGTTTACTTACTTTTATGTTTTACTAACCATAATCAAAATACGAAAACATTCTTCATTCTTTTCTTATTTTGCAAGGTAGGGCTTTGGATCAAGAGATCAATATGGGTTTCTAAATTAGGATTTTGATCCCCTAATTCAAAGTAAAGGTAAACAATTGGTCAATAAGGCATATTATTCAAGGAATGACCTATAATATTAGATCACATTCATGTCAAGCTTCATTTAACACCAATTTACCAAAAGAAGTTCAAGTTTGAGGCTTGTTTTGCAAGCTAACTCAAGATAGGGATATATGTTTATATCCATGTCTTCTTCATCATTTTCCTCAAGATTTAATCAAGATTAATCTAATTTATATGAAGGATACTTCATTTTGAGTTCATATGATCGTCATTGTACCTTGAAATTCAAGAAAACATCAAAAATGACAAGTTGGAACACGGTGGTTTAACCTAAGATCAAGTATGGCATGTCATTTGGTCTAAACACCATAAGTTTTTCAATTTTAAATATTATCAAGGCCATCTTTGATCCAAATGTCAAGAATGATGTCCTCTAAAACATTTCTTCAGAGGTCAAACATCAACTCAAGCTCTAAGCACCTCAAATCTTGAAGGCCATTTATGCACAAAACTAGGCCATGATCTGTTTGACCTAATGTCAGACCTGTTTTTCAGAGCAACGACTCCAACTTTCAACTCATTCCATTTTCACATCATCCATCCTTTTGAAGTGGTTATTTTGGCATTGTATTCTCCTCCATGCAAGATTATTTGGTTCTAAGAAAATTGCAAAACGCACGAGTGGATTCCATTTGGCCTAAGTTTGAACATGGTGACATAATTCTACGGTTTGGTACATGACCCGTAATTAGAAATGATGTCAAACTTCATTTGGGGACCACTAACCCATGTGCGTCTCTTCTTTTTTTTCCCAACTCATCCCACTAAGCACAAAATGACTCATTTCAAAACATGAATCATGAATTTCACCTTGCCTGACAGGATTGCAAAATCAGAAAATTCTAGAATGAGTTTACAAGTTTTGGATATGAAATTCACACATATGATGACCTTATTCATTATCCTATAAATATAGCTTTCTTCTTCTAAAATTTCCATGCTTCAAGAGCCAAAGAAACTCTGCCTACATAGAACCCTAAACTCTAAAAAAACCATAAGTTTGATTTCTCATTTTCTCTTCGTTTCAACCTCAAATCTCCACCAGCAATCCTCCATCGGCTTCCTCTGAAGCTACCTGAAGCATTATAGAAGCTTTCCATGACCTATAAGTAATAACTCAATCTCACCATTCTCAGACCACTTGAGCTTACATCGAACATGTAGCTATAAGTTTCATTTTCACTCAAAACAATTACCACACTCTTCATCTTGATCTTCTGAGTGAAAGCCCTCACCTAACTGTGATTTATTATTTAAATTTGGCATTTAATTTTACTTTGAATCTTTTTAGATTTTCTATATTTTTAGGAAAATTTTCCTTGCCCAGATCAAATAAGTTGATCTTGAGCAAAGAGACATGGACGATGATGTTAGGTGAAGTTGAAACATGCTTTGTTTCAGCATAAATCTACACTAGTATATGGTTATGCAAAATTGAATGGCTGGAGGTTGAAGACGGAGGTGTTCGCATCTTCTGGAGAAAAATTCAAATGTCTCAACCAATGAAAACATGCCACAACATCATAGTCACTTCTCCTTTTTTTTTACTTTCTTTTAATTTCTATTATTTTCATTTTCTTTCAAAAATAATTAAAAATGATTTCTACCTTGTGTAATTTTCCAAATTTTAATAATGATTTTTAACATATTTTTCTATTTTATTTTATTTCTTTTTTAACTGATTTCAAACAATTTTTCTCATTATTTTGAAACATTTTGGATCCAAACTTTTGAGATCTTGATCTTTGGTCTATTTCTAACTTTCCATAATTTTTTTGGACATTTTTTTAATGTTTTATTGCATCATTTGAATTTTCCTTTTTATTTTCCACTTTAAAACCATTTTTAAACCATTTCAATTACTTTTTTATTGATTTTCTCCATCTATTTTTTGTTTGAATTCTTGTCGAGGCTTGATTGATCAATGATTTATTAAGATCAATGGACTTTGGGTGATGTTTTTGGTGTATGGACCTTAATCATTTCAAATTTATCATTAAATGATCATTTGGATCATTTTTTGTATTTTGGATTGATGATAGGTTTATCCCATTGTGTTACCAAGAGAGATGATTTAAATTGATGAAAAATGATCTCATGTTGTGTTTGTTTTGGTTTGATCAGTCTTTCTCTCCTTATCTCCTTCTTCTTTTTGCTTTGTCTTAAATCACGGTGTTGCATTGTCTTCGGAGAATGACTTTGTATCATTTCTCTAACATGCACTACAACTACTTTGCTATTGCCCGATCTTAGGCAGTTGTAAATTCTACATTAGTTTACTTACGATTGCTTAACATAGCGCTAAATTTGTCCTGAATCGGTTGATTAACAATTAACACTGACATTAACTCAATATTGTTGTGCTAACTTTACTTTTCCACACTTTTACATTAATGTCATTTAAGTTCTTGACCCTTTACT